TAATGTGTATCTTTTTCCATAATCAGGAACACAGAAAACATGTTCTGCAGTAAATACCATACTTTTTATTTTGATGTCTGTAATGGATAGATACTGCAAAGGAAAAACTGCTTTCTTAAGAGGTCATCCATTTTAATTTTGTCAAAGCTGCTGGTTAAAATCAGAGGAGGATCTGACCATCAGTATAAATCTGAGTTATTTATGATTTGATGTAAGTTTTACTGTATTAGAGGGCTATTCTACCTAAACGACTTATTTCAGAATACCAGGCTCTATTTAAAAGAGTGACACTCCTGACCCTCAAGAGCCAGACTCACTGCTGCCATTTCTCTACTGTACTGAACTTGATTATTCGTACCCGGCTACTAAACTGCCCTCCTGGATTTGCTTGGAGACTAGTGGCAGGCAGGCATCTGGTATATGGTAGCTGCACGTAGTGGTGGTACACCCCAAAAAAGAGGAGACTTGTACTTTTGATTCCCCTTTGAATAACATTTTCAACAAGGGAGAAACAAGGCACTGGGTGAGCCAAAGGCTGAGGAACTGGGGAGCAGAGAAGGCTGCTGTCGCTGCACAGTCCCCCCACCGCTCTGAAGTGAGCAGGGAAGATGACTGTCCCAGAACAAGAAAACCTGCAGCTCTCTAACACCTAGAGTCCCACATCTCAGGGACCTTCCTAATTGTGGGTCTACCCCATGCTTTGGAAGGAGGGTGGTGGTGTTCAAATAAAGACAGAACAGGAAGCAAAAATGTTTAAGAAATGTGCCCGCGTTTTAGAGGTGTTCCTGTGAGCCTCATCTAAGTGGGAAAAAACCTCCCACAAACAGACAATGGCACTAGCATCACCCACATCCTCCCCTAGGTCTGGGATGTGCTTGGCTCCTGCTGTTCGCACCACAGAGATTCCTAAAATGTAGGTGAAACTGATGAATACACAGAGACGGAGAAAGAACAGGTAGGTGGTGTAATACCATACGATGTGTTTACATTGAAAGCTGGACTAAGAAAATTCTCTTGAGAGAGGAGGAGAAAGCATCCCCCATGATTTAAAGCCACCTGCAGTTTCAAAGACATATGGAGCTGGTGTTTGGTTACCTGCAAGACTCTCCAAATAAGAGATCAGCTGGATGGGTGCAGTAGATCCTGGAGAAGATGCAGTGCCTGAGGCCAAGAAAGGCAAGCTTGGTTGTCTGGGGAGGGTCCTGGGTGTCAGTCAGCTCCAGTGGCAAGCCCCTGCCTGCCTGTAGGAACTGCTGCCTGAAACCCATTAGGGCTTGACACATGCTAAGCATCTTGATAACATCCTATTTATCTGCTGTCTACAAGTCTTTTCTGCTTCTCAAATTCATTTTTGAAGCACTGATTCTCAAAAAAAAAAATTAGAAAGCTGCAAGTGCTCATAAAATTCTCTGCAAGTTGATGTCAATATAGTCCTTCTCAAGAAGCAGATACAGATAATTTCTTTGGAGGAGAAAGAAGCTTTCTCAAAACACAGTTCTTATACTGCATTGTGCTTGTGGTGCTTGGTGCTCCTGTTATTAATGGGCTCTATTATACTTGTTTAGACACATTACTGATCAGCAATATTAACATTAGCTGGTTTGTTTAATAACCAGTCATTTGTTTGGAATCTTTAAATTGGGTTGACCTCATTCAGAGAAAGTCAAGCCTCTTGAAAACACCTTTTCATTATACCACAAGTAAAAGTATCCTACCCTAAGGAGAGTTCAGGAGGATTTTGTCTAAACAATGAAGCATCCTCAGAGCAAATGTAAATTTTTCCAGGGCCTTGAATTACATACCTCCAAAACACTTCAAAACAAAACAAAAAACAGCCCCCACAAAACCACTTTCAGTTTTCCAGTATTTGAATAATGAATTCTATTAACAGGGAAGAGAAGGACAAAACAATTCAGAAGCCCTGACAGAAGTACACTGCTATTTTAAACAGTGTCCTCTCAGGAAAACAGTATTTCTATCATATTCCTATGCATCCCAAAGTGGAAAATATAATCTCTGGATTGAATATTAGTAATTTTCCACGTAACTGATGGAAACAGTTAATGGACTCTTTAATGGACTTCAAAAACACTCTTTAATGGACTGTCCTCAAAACCATTGTCTTTCCTCACCCCCGCTATCCAAGGAGTCATATGACTAAAACTGTCTACTTTCGCAGATTTTCATTCCAGGTATGTTTCTCCCTTTGGTCCCTAACATTTGTTATTGGAGGAAGGGTTGGAGAGCACTGAGTTGCGAAGACCCCATGGAATGTTCTCCTCCCATGCAGATGCAGTGGCAGTGAGGAGCCCTAACTGCGCTCAAAATCTTGGATCACTAGGATGGGTGCCACCAGGGCTCACTGCATAACTCCTTGAGTCAGGAGGGCTTCCCTTCAGCCATGCTGGAACACAAAGACAACAAGGAATGAAAGACTACACTAAGAAAACTGGAAAAATCTACCCACAGGAAAGCACCACATGCCTCTGGAACAGATGACACGAGCCCATTGGGGCAACATGTCCACTGAAGGGAAGTTTAAAACCGTATCAATCACAAGAGAGCCAAGATACCACCAGTCCTCGCTGAGATTTCTTCTTCTTGCCTATTCCTAAACATGGGGGCTCACATCTACTCTGTGGCTTCAGAGGGGCTAGATATGGCTCCCTGGGAATGTCTCAGGTTTTCAGACAACCACCACTAACAAACATACTGGATGTATTTTCTGCTTCTGGGAAACTACTTCCCTGTCACAAGCATGGCAGAAAGGTGCAAGTGGATTTCAGCAAGCAGCAAGTGCTACTCTATTTCCTTCAGCACCTCCAACTCCACCCACTGCTGTAGCACCGAATATTTTGGCAAGTGAGGTAACTGCTGTAGCTTGACCTAGCACAGTGAGAGGTGAATGCTTGCCAACTGGCACGACAGTAGCTCACGTAACTCTTGGGAAAGATATGGAAAAGGCACAGTTTATTACCATGCAAAACACTTAACTGCTCTTGATACTGCCTCAGAAAAGAAAGTTCAGTTCATTTACTCAACTTTTATTTCAACTCTTATTTTGTTGCCTTTCAAACATCCTTGGAGATATATGAACTTGCCTAGGGATGGCACACTATTAAAATCTAGAAAATTTGCCCCTAAATGAGTCAGTGTGGAGATACTTGTAAAAGTTACAAGTCATCCTGGCATCCACGGCAACTCTACATTTGACTTCTTGAGCTCACTTCTATCGTATCAATTGTATCTATCTTGAGCTCGCTTCTATCGTATCAATTCATTTTTTAAGGAAACTGGAAACAATGCAACATTTTTATCGGAGTGAAGGTAAATTCAAGGTAGTCAATAATCCTAAGACATGGATGTCTGCAAGTTGCAAAAGTTGGATGTTGGATGTTTTTAGAGTCCACGAATACTTACATAGGCATCTTAAAATCAGTGATCCAATCCAGTATAACAGGTCCTATGTCCTATTCCGTACTCTCTGACAGTGACCGCAGGGATAAGAAAGAAACCTCTCTACAACCTTGCTCTTGAAAGGCAATTCTGAGGTTTTCTAGGGCTGATTTGAAACTCTTTTCTTATAGAGACTGAACTTGGATATCTGGATGTCTTTTGTGTAACTACCTGTTTGTCATATACTGGTTGCTGGCATAGTAGAGATACTTTAAAAAAGCCCTTTATTCTGCCTTAGAAGAGAGGTGAACTCTAAGGGTTTTATGAATAGTTTTTAAATTTTTTTTTTGTTTAACAAGGAAACTCCCCATACTCAGCAGCTAAAGTTCCCCTTTATTTCCACAGTGGTTATTAAGCAAGCCAGTTTTCAGTAAATGCAAATTTTCTACCCGCAGCTTCTCATTGCCAAACCTGGGTCAAGTACAAATACAGAAGGATTCGACAAGCTCAGCATTAAGTTACCTAAATGCCTCCTGCTGATAGCTTCTCCAGAAAATGCTATCAATGATATCACATATATATCAAGTATCCCAAGAAACAGCATTAGCCCAAATATCAATTTTAGTAAACTGAAACCTTTTTCATTTGCATGTGAAGAGGTGACGTCATGAAAATTTTCCCTTTTAACAGCAAAGGTTTGTTACATATAAAAAAGAAGATCAGAAGATTCATTATATGTCACAGAGTGCTTCTGGCTGTGATTTTGAAGCTCCCTACACATTAAAATAAGTCACTAGTGTCATAATCACGCACGACTGACATGTTATGTGGATTTAGACCGTGGTAGCCTCCAAACAATATATAATTTGTGTGCTGTAATAACAAAACCACTTAAACCAAAAACAATGTATGACAAGCTTGTTTAGCCCCACACACCTTTATCACTTGCTTTATACTCAAGCCAGTACATAGAGTTCATTAACTGGAATAAATAAGATCTCTAGAGTTTTAAAAATAATACAGATGTGTTGTACATCAAAGCAGAGCTAGTGCAGCAGTCATCACTATTGCTCAAATAAATAATTAGCCCAGGCTTGCAAAATACAAACTGCCATGGTTTCAGCTTCTGAGTTACTGTATGGAAGTGTTGCACAAAAAAACCCAAAACAGAGAAATTAAATGACCCAAGGTTTGGGAGGCCTTCTTTAAAAATAAAAGAATTCCATCAAATGACTGGGGGTGAACGGGGAACACTCAGTGTTTTGTATTAGAAAAGTAAAAATCTTTGCTGAACATAAAAATCATTGTTCAGAAAAGTCTGTTGTGTGCAGGCAGCTGTCAGTAGTTCAGCACCTCCAGGTAACCATGTACTTCTCACAACATGCACCCACTGCTTAGTGAAGAACAATTATTTAAAAACTAGAAAAGGTGCAGTTAGCCTATTTGCAGGATCCTATCTGTAGCATTTGCTGGCACTTTTCCTAACGCAGTTTCCCCACCACTAAAGCACCACTAAATCACATCTTTCCTTCTAGCCACCAGCTGGGAAGAGTGAAGCAGCATGTTTCTAGACCAGTGGCTGTGAGCAGCCTTTACTTGCATACCTGTTTCATCAGGCGAGCTTGGTGAGGCACTGTCCTGGGACAGTGTAGTCCAGCTGGAGTCCTCATCACTTGGGGCCAGGTTTTGAATCCTATGGAGAGCACAATCTGTTTTGGCCCCTGTTTTTGGGTGGTCCTTCTTAGTCTCAGGGCTTGAAGACACTGCAGCAACTTGGCCATCCTCTGGGCTTGATGGCTTGTTTTGTTTACGGGGCAAGCCTTCCCCATTGACAATAATGGTAGATGCCTGGCTGTTGCTTTGTGCAGATTTATCTTCCATAGTAACAAAACTCTGCTCTAGCTCTCTAGCAGATGTCTCTAGATCTGCATAGTAATTCAGGAAGCTCTTGGTCCTCCTTGGCTGTGAGGGGAGTATTTCACAGCCAGAGGAATCCTGCGGGATCGGCTCTTTGCCTTCAAACTTCTCAGAAGTTACGTTTATGCCTGCAGTGGCAGGGAGGTTTTTGTTGGGATCTTGCTGTCCCTGCTCGGCGGCTTTCCTGAGCTGGTTTTCTCCATTCTTTACCAGCTTTATATTGGCAGAGCTGTTCCCCAGAAGGGGCTGCGCTGCTGGATCAGAAAGACCCATGGCTGTCTGAATGTTAGTCAGCGCATATTTTTTCCTGCACTTTGGAGGAGTGGTGTTCTTGGTCTCTGTGTGCCTAATCTCTGCATTCAGAAGTTCATTGTGAGAGGAGCGCAGGTTGAGCGTGTTGGGTGGGGTGGCAGGGCTGTTGCGGTTCACAACGTCCGTCGTGCTGCCGCTTGCCATAAACACTGCCAATGCGTCCACGCCAGAGTCAACTAGAAAAGCAAAAGAGACAGTCATGAAACAGACTAATTCATTGAACACACTACTTTGTTAAGGCTTCTGGTACAGGGATGCAGCGCTTTACATAACTGGTTTACATCAGGAAAATTACAACCACCTAAGTGGGTAAGACAATAGACAAAAGCTGAACTTATTAAATAAGGAAAAACAGAGGCAGGAGAAAGAAAAAAAATATAAAAACATTGGGACCATGAAGCTGAGAATAACCAGGAAGCTTGACACTATACAAGGCAGTTTCAGGGCAGTTTTTCCATGCCTCTGTTTCACGCGGGCTTGGGGACAGAAGAGGTGCCCTCTGCAAATGTCTGAGAGTCCAGAAATCATCCTTATCATAATTTCATTCTAGTATTTCATATCTACCTATGACGACAAGGAGAAGAACTCCTCAAGTGCTGAGCACTAGGAAGAAGTAAGAAATTTCTAAGAGACACAGGCAGATGCTGCTCCTTTTTCAGCAAGGGCAGAACTCAAGTACTATTAATTTTAAGCCTGACTGGCCAGTCAGCTGTTGTCTCTTAACACCTGCATTTTCTCTGCTCTTTGTCTGTCTTTCTCTCCCCTTCCCTGTGTTTTTTCTTTTATTTTGAGGTGGAAAGTAGAGAGTCAGAAGGTAAGCGATGCAAACAGTAGATTATTTCAAAAAGGTGCATTTCATTTCTGGAGGCGGGAGGAATCCCCTGGCAAAATATCCTGCTCTAATTCAATCAGCTTTAAAGAAAGGGCTACTCCAGAGATGAAGATGGGTCACTATTTCTACCGCTCACAAAGTTCAAGCTTAAGGACAAAGCGTACATCCCAGGGCATAGTACACGTATTCCACCGTTAAATAAAACCATTCATTTATCTGTTTGTAGGCAAGTTTTTGAATTTTGTTAGCCAGGGGTGCAGCTCACATTTTGAAAAAGTATTAAGTTTATTGAGGGAACAGATTTTTAGGCTATGAAAAATAATCAGACAATATATACTTTTTTTAAAAACTGTAATTTGTTCCTGTACTGTCTATTTCTGGTTCTCACTAATCTGCACAACTCCGTGAACTGCTCAATTTACATACTGCAATAGTCACTGTTGCTTGACACCTAGCAACCAAATTAGAGGCCAATTAATAAATCACTCCCATCTGCCACAGCAGGAAACACCCTTGCTGTTGTTCCTAATTCTCAGGTATCACTGACTGTTTATACTGCACAACATAAAAACCTGTCTGGGGCTTACCCAGGAATGAAAAGCTGTTATTTGAGCTAGCCGATGACAGATCATTCCAACTGAGTAGTGCTGCATCCTTGTGTATTTGATATATGACAGAATTGATGGCTGTACAGATTTACAAGAGATTAAATATGTGGGTTTTAAAAGAACATGTACATAAACACAGCACGAAAAGGAGCACTCCACAATGTTACCTAAACGCACACACAGTTGCTAGTGTTCCCTTGTCTTTGATGTGCTGTCAAAGCTGCACACTTCCAACCATCACTCCAGTTCATTTAAAACCAAGCAGAGCAGCTATACTCTTTGTTCCCTGAATCACCCAGCAAGAACAACTTCTAAAACTTGCCCAAAACAGACTTTAAAGTACACTTTACAAATGTTCATGTCTACCATTTTCTCAAGCCCCAGTTAGTCAGGTCTAGACGAACTGCAAATTCTTTGGAAGACAGGTCACCTCATGCACACTACAAAAAAGCCATCGGCTTAGGTAACGGTCACAAACGTCCTAGAAACAATTTCAGCTCTAGCCACAAAAGACTTACAAAACACAACTATCACATAATCTTCATACAGAACAACAACACATGTTGCTGTCTGCAACTAACCTGAATCTAACCAATTCTAATGAAAGCAAGGTCACATCTGATGTTACCAAAGCACATGTTTTAATCAAAACCATGAAATGGGCTGTGTTTATGGAGTGGCTGCTTTATGTTTTTCCAAATCCATTAGAAGCCTGGAAGTTATGTTAAAAAAACCAAACATTAGGACAGGATAATTTTGACCCACTACCTGACCTTTAGAACCTATTCAATCACACAGTATCTACGGTTTTCACTAGATTATATTTTATTTTATGCTTCAGCAAATTAAAACAACATTTCTGGTTTCCATCAATAAATAAAACTGCCACAATCTGGAACAAGACTGAAATTTATTCTTCTCCTTTGTTACAAGTGAGCTGCTTCATGCAAAGTTTTCCATTATTTTTACCACTAAAAATATTTCTTAGGAAAATAATCTCCCTAGATAAAGCTTAAGTATCTGCCTGCCAGATTATCTTCAGCCAGGATCCTGCTGTTCGCATTTGGCTTATCAAAAAATTGTAAGAATAAGCACATAGAAACACTGAAAAAACGTATTATGCTTTATTAATCTGCTCGAAAAGCTCCCCCACTGGTTTATGAAGAACACTGGCACTGATCCATGACTGAACCAAAGCTCCAGAAGTCTTTGTGACCCAGGCAGTGTTTGCAAGCTGGGTGCTAAGTTGGTTTGGTGTATGATCATAAGCAGGAAAGTGTCAAAATGAACCTTTCACTAGACACCATCACCCTCCTGGCCTCATTTCAAATGATCCACTGATCATAGAATCACAGAATGGTTAGGGTTGGAAGGGACCGTAAAGATATCTAGTTCCAACCCCCTCCACGGGAAGGGACACCTTCTATTAGACCAGGTTGCTCCAAGCCCCGTCCAAAAAATGATCAATGAACAAGCAAAAAGTATGACAAGGTGTGCACAGAGCAGAGCAGACTTCTCTCAAGAGACAGGCGCCTGCTCACTAGGCATCACCCTGCACTCATAGCCAGGATCTGGGATGTACGTGGCCAGCTTCCCACCATTCTTGGAAGCAGATATAAAGAAAAGCAACAAAAGAGGCAAAAAGAGAAGAAGAAATACAGATGCGAAAGGTCAGGACTTGCACTTGAGGAGCAGAAGTTGCTACCAGACCAGGATTAACTGAAGTGCTCGAAAACACCTGAATGCAAATGCAAAATTTTGCAAAAATTTGAATGCAAGGAAATTCTTAAATGCAGTGAAGAAAATCTAGATTGCACAGTAGAATAGCACAAGGAAGAAGAGCGACAGCCTGTCCCTCCTTCATAGAGGACACTGTGATACCTAAAACATGTCACTTTTCCCAGGGGAAGCATATTCCAACTTTATAACTGAAAACCTTCAAGGAAATGTAACGTCTTCCTGTGCCTGTAATTTCAAGATCAAAATCCCAATCACCGACCTCCCCAATCTTCTATTTTGTCTCTCCCAGTGTCCCTGCCACCCTCACCCACAGGGTTCCTAACACATGTTGGTGCGGTGCCCCTCACCAGCCAACCAACACCCTGTGCCAGGGGTTCCAGGGACCTCGACACAGGCAGACCCTGTCCCCCCACCTCAGGAAGTTCCTCATGCTTCCTGGCCACCAGCAAGGACAACGATACTGCCACAGGGCACCCCTCCTTCAACTGCTTTCTGCTGAAAGGCAAACAGAAATGGACAAGCAGACCAGGAATCACCGAGTTGATATGTGTATCTCAGCTAAAGCAGATGAAGAGTGGTAAGTTGTGAGTGAGTAAAAATAGGGTATTATAATAAAAAATACTGGACTGGTGAAAAACTAAGAATAATTAGAATGTTATGATTACTGGGAACAATATTAAATGTTGGTGCTTAAAGAGAGCACTTAAGTAGGTAGATCTGTCATAGCAATTCATTAATGGGTTTAGCTTGCTTACTTTTAAAAACAAATATTGTCTTAACTGCATACTTCTAACATTTATTTAGGCACATCCCTACAGATACATGCCTACAGATACAGATTAATATACTTTTACCACTATAATGCGTTTAACACAAAGTAATCTAAATTTTCTAAGCACCATAATAATACAAATAACACTATTACTTGAATGGCTTTTATTGAGGTTTTTCAATCTTGTCATAAACCTTACAGAGCTGGAAAGAGGAGAGAGAAAATACCATTGCAAACATAAAACAGTGCATGACTGAGTTGTCTTTACCTCTAATAAGACATTTTTGCATTGTATTGTCTATAGGAATACTTTGTTAAAAGTTGAACACAATCTATTCAAAACGCACTGTTTAAAAGAAAAGAGTGCTTGCTCTTTCATGGATAAGTGCAAAATGAAAGTGAAATATGGGCCTGGGAAGGAGGAAAAGAAGATAAAAGTTTCACATATTTGCATAGCAGAATCTTTTAAAGGGCATCTGACCTGGAAGTACTTCTGACATGGCTCACGGGGCGTCAGCAATGCATCAGGAAATAGATTATAATTTGAAATCTGAAAAGAGGGATCATTTAAGAATTAAAACCAAAGGAAAACACAAAATAAAACTACCACATTTCAGAAGTTCCTGAGACACGTTAAGCATTCTAAACAAACCCTGGAACATAACAGTGAGGATCTTTTGAGCTTTTAGTGATACTTGACAGTGATTAAAATATGGGAGAGGCTAGTTTACAGCAATTAAAAATAATGACATTTTTCTTAATGTATGCTTGAGGACCACAAGTTCAACAATTTCTCCAGTTTTAATCAACATATTCTAGCAAAAACTTCATGACATTAGAAAACATTGGGTTTTCCCCCATGACCCAGATAAAGCATCCTTGGGAAACTACAGCAGCATTGGTAAAAAGAAACAGAGCAGTCAGGCATGTTCACATGAAAGTTTGCAGGATGAGATCCAGCATGTGAAACCAGGAAGCATAGGCTGCAGGGCTGATCCCACAGAAGGGAATCATAAAAAGCAAGCTAGCAGCAAGCTCTTGTACAGGACTCCTTCCTGTCCATCTTCTCTCAAGGAAACCATTTTGCCTTAGTCTCTGGTTTGGATGTGAATACACTGGGAGACAAGGCATTTCTATGCACTTATGACTCTTTCTGCCATTATGATTAGGAAACATAGGAAAGAAATAATACAAACCATTTCATAAAGCAGATTTCCTTTAATC